CATTTTTATACAAGCTATAAGAGTAAACGATGGCCTCATAACATTAACTGATAACATGGATCATAAATCCCGTGAACGATTGAATTAATTTAGAAAGGATCTTAGCACTTGTAGAATTAAGAGAAAAAGCATTTGGCGTTAACCTAAATTAAAGATCCTTTTGCTGCTACAATGCTTAATGATCTATGACAATCTTTTAGACCGTATATCAAAGTTTTCAATGGTGCCCACCACCCAAACTCAAGTAATGGGCATCTGATGGCAACGAATTAGAAAAGATACTGGCGTCAATACATGGATAGAAAAATAGTTAATCTTGTGCAACATCAGAGGATACTAAAATAAGATAAAACGTACGCAAGTCGGTATCACCGTACTCTCCACACATGGGAAGATCATCTTCCAAAGCAGCTTCGAACTCACTGGTGGTAAATACCTGGCCAGTTTTAGCCGACTGCTCTATCTTTGAAACTAATCTAAATAATGAAGAGATCAGAATAATAATAAACATAGCAATTAATTCCAAAGTAAATATATAATCATGACCTAGCCTTTCTTGGATAAGCGTGTCATACTATAAAAACATTATTCGATTAAAAAATAATGGAGTTAAGTCTTACATATTAGCCGACTAATAATTTTTTTTAAAAGTTAGCAATTCTCCAAAATAAATTAATTTAATTTAAATCTTATATAATACCTTGGAGAACGCCATTTTACAGGATAATCGTCTTAAAGGATTCAAAGTTCGATGGGGGGAAGTCCTGTACAAATAGAGCTCCGAGGAACATTAGTATAAATATATAAGGGAACAAGCACGGAGTGAGATAAGTATGCAGCAAAGATAAAGTGCGATTACGTCGATAAAAAACTGAGATCCTATTTGTTCTTTTCCAAAATATTAAGGTTGACAAGCAAAAAAGATGTATTCAACTTCTGAATCAAAATAACTTAATTAAGACAATTCAGCAATCATGATTGAATAAGCGAAATTTTAGGCAAAATAAGTATGATTTGCAGAGCTCAGTAGATATAGTTTTTACCTTTCAAAACGATCATCGACTTTCGCTTGTAATTGCCGGGGAAGCATGGGGATAGATGAAATATGATTCTCCAAATCAAGACTGCCTAATTTTTTCAGCCAGGTTTCTTCTGCATCACTTGAAGTGAGTCCAAATTCCTAGAGTATCAAAAATAATTTGTCAAACATATAAAATAAAGGCATAAAATGAAACGAATGAAAGATGAAAAGGAAGTGACAACCTTTTTCTTCAAAACAATATCTTGGAGGAGCTCGAAATTTTTTCTCAATTCAAAGCGTATCCATTTCTTTTCATGTAAAAGGGAAGTTGTATACTCATTAACACAATCAGAAAGCGGAGCTAGAGCTGCTATACAATAAAGGAAGAACTAAGAAGTGTATAGAGTTGACTCACATAATATATTGGATAAGTATGATTTATTAGAATCAACGTGGCAAAAACCTCGATAATTATTGAAATTAAGCTCTTTCAGTCGATTCT